AATAAAGTATATATTCACCATTTATCTATACTGTATCCTATACTGAGCTCTAAATCCAGGAAACTGCATTACTTTGACTGTCTATTGACTACAATTTATCAATCAATGTTTAACAAGAAACTTTGTAAAAAGCTTTTATGAACTCGTAAGGATGTGAGAGTACAGTGCTACTGTAACTGTCATGCCACTATGTCATTCCACATGAGAATGTACAGGTGCAATAATTAGTTCACCCTAAATAGGTTTCACCATCATTTGTAGCAAGCCATTTCACATTAGTATAAAACAATTTTAAATAACAAGAAGGGTCAAAATTGACATTAACATTAACATTAATTGAATTAAAACATGTACAGTAACATGAGGTTGAAGACTGTGGATAGAATTTTCTGAATTTGGAGTCTTTTAAGGATAAAGCTACAAGGAAAAACAAAAACTGTTCAAAACAGGACAGACTGTGAACATCCAAATTTGAATCTTTAATATATTAAGAATGTAATAAGTGCTAACAACACTCTTTAATATTACTATACATTTGTAATTTGACACAATCCTTCATTATAACCTATGGAAACGATTGTTTTGGCAAACTGTGCTTGCTTGCTCCTCAAATGAAAATCCAGAATAAGCAATTCTCTCTGAACCAAAATCTATACAATGCTAACAAATTGGCTGTCCCTGAAATTCTTCCCTGGAGGCTAAGAGTGACTCGGCCTTCCTTTCTGATTGTTGATTTGAGGTAAGCAATCTCTTATCATCTTTCCCACAGCAGGACTGCTCACCATTAGCTCTACTACTAATTGAAAAAGCACTGATATAACCATTACTCTGGTTTTCAAAGAGAAATATGGCCAATTTGTACATGTTTGAGGAAATATATTGTTGCTTCCAAACATGTTTTTAAGAGGCTGTGACAGAAATTACAGAACATGTTCTTTTTCATTGTGCTTACAGTATATACACCCCCAATGAGAGAAGGCTATGTACTCCACCATTCTGTGACAGGTTCTCCTGGTTCTGCTAGTAACAAACCAGGAGCAATTTACAGTAACCAATCACAACCTAACCTGCATGTTTTGAGGAAATTGGAGGAAACCCGCGCACCTGGTCAACATAGAACTTCCATCTATCCGTTTTCTAACCAGGGAAACAATGGGCGCAAGGTCAGGTACACCCTGGACTGGACATCTTGTTTGGTAGCATGGTGGTGACTCCAGACTGTTGGCTTTGGGAGAATAACTGCTTGAAGCTACAAGGCTGTTTTGTCTTATTGTATGTATATTAATGTAAAGCTTTCTATTTAGTGATTCTCTGTATTTATTTGTGAAAAGAAAATAAAGTTCTTGTTTTGTCTTATTGCTTACAAATATACTCTGATGATCTTGGCACAGGTCTAAACTACTGTTCAGTAGTTACTTATGTTTGTTGCACATTAAAATCTGAGATTTGCTTAATTCATTCAATTTGTAATTGATAGATTCCTTTACACTAACAACAAAATGTATCTAGGCCTACTTTTGTGTTACACTTCTTCAAGATACAATGAAATAGAAAGAGGCATACTTCAAGTTGTGCAAATTGTCCCTTTTGATAACAGTGAAGAATTATTTCCCATTTTTTTGACAACTGACAACTGGCACAGCTGGTGAAGATCTATTCAAGTGACAAAGCTAAAATACATTTCTCACACTAAAATTAACAACTTTCTTAAACATAGTATTTCTAAACAGAGTATATAAATTAGCAGTTAAATAAAATTATGAAAGAAGTATGGATTTGCTTTCCAAAACCATTGAACTACACTAGTAAATTGACATTGCAATTTGAATCAATCTACATCTCAATTTTGTTGCGACTGAAATCTTATTCAAAGAAAGCAAATCTCAGGCACCTTACAGCTCTATAAAATCATTGACACAATGATGTCAATGACTCAGACTGAGCTGCAATATTTTGCAATTCGCAATTGTAGTTTTAAAGTATAATGCAGAATTTTAGAACCAATATGAATTATGAAAGCATATGGACTTTTTTTGTAGAAGATGAAATGTTAAAAAAAGCAATAACCCACATCAGGAAGACTGGGCTTTGGAATGGATGCTAAAATGTTCACAAACATAGTGGTGGAGTAGCTGTACTTCTACTTGTTATAGTTTCATTTTTTACTTTCAATGTTTTCAATACAAAGATCTCAGCCCACCCCCACTTCCTTTGACACAAACATTTTCACAGGATTTTTTATGCTTGCTTTAGTTGTGGCTGTGTGAAATTGTAGATCATGGTAGTATACACCATGGTAGAATAAACCATTGCAACACCAGCAGCCGTATCACTCTTCAACTCACTACAGGCAACCCACTGAAGCTAAGCAGGTGTGAGCCTGGTCAGTACCTGGATGAGAGACCTCCTGGGAAAAACTAAGGTTGCTGCTGGAAGAGGTGTTAGTGGGGCCTTGTGAGTCCTAATGCCCCAGTATAGTAACAGGGACACT